AATAAAAAATGCTAAAATGTAGTCTTTAACTGTTCTGAATTGTACTATCTATTAACGCTCCAGTGTGGCATCTTACCTTCTGACAATACTGTCAGGTAGTGCACAACTCACTAGAAACACATGGACACCAATAAATATTCGCAGTAGCATCAAGCACACGCCGACAGGGGAGTACAGCAACAACAACAGCAGGATGAAGCGATCATTTGGTAACCTGTGGAAAGAGATGACAGGAATAGCAACCAGCTGCAGGATCTATTTATGACAAGAGCCGTTTGCCAGAAACTAACATCTCTCAATGTCAGAGACCTGAGCAGTGCACACATTTCACATGTTTACTAACCAGTGCTTCATTTCTGCTGTCATGTTTGAGTTGCTCAGAGATCAGAAAGACAGACCTAAGAAACATGAGTTATGGGGAAACCTTGGTTTTTGTGAGAAAATCAGCTAATATACGATCATGCATTGTTATTTTTAATTAGATCCGTTTTATGCAACAGGCCTTACTGTTGACATTAACAACCACAAATATTAAGACTATCTGTGTTATTATTATGCAACATATTTTAATGAAACATAAACATAGCCAGACTTTTTAATGTAATGTTAAAAAGTAGTAATACAGTACTATTCGAAACTGTCCGAATAACCTTTATGGCAAATATAGTATATTAAATTACAAAAGTGCAAAAAGAATCAGACAACATTCATTGACTATTCATTCTCATATGCATGCATCTGAAGATTTTATACGCTTCAGACTTTATACGCTTGTGTTTTTGTGAGTTTGATGTTGAACATGCTACGGCTAATTATATTAGCTCTGCAACTGTTATCATTTCAAGCTTGGAATGTGAGTAAGTTACCGCTGGAAGTCGAACATCTGCTCAATCCCCCGCGTTTCCATTATTTAAACTCTTTCTGGGATACTTTCAAAGGCTGCTGCATACTATTCTTCGGACTTTAACGGCAGGTGAGAGGGGGAGAGACGCTAGCTCGTTATTAGCCTGTGCTATTATTCGCCATGTTGAGACGCTGCTGATGTTTCTAGATGGGGAACAAAGAACTTCACGAGAGTTTAGACACTCCAGAGCTATTTCCGTGTTAGGTCACGTGCGTCGCAGTAGCGCATCTGATTGGTCCTTAGATGTTGAGGCTCGATTTACGGGATTTTACACAAGAATTTTATTACTCAATATTTAATAATGCACACCAGCAAATAATAAATATAGGAGAAGTACAGTTATCTACAAATACAGTTTAAAATAGCTAGTGTTTGATACAGAACAAAGTGTTTTCATTAATGCAACGAAACCGATATTTAATATAAATACTATAAATATTTATCTATGTGTTACTTTGCAAAATAAGTGTCTTAATTACTGTTATGTATTAACCATTTCAGTTATAAACCCTAGAGTAAAAGTCCAGCGTCCTCATTGCGCATTTGATAATTGCTACTAAATAGTGAAGAGTGGACGAGCTGGTAAGTATAGCTTCTATGTTCCTCTTGAGTTTTCAAAGGACAACTCACCGTTCATCTTCATCTTCTTCACTTGCTTTTCTAGGCGCATTTTTTAGTTAAAGGCTGACATCTTGCGTTATGGAATATGAACTACGATACAGTCTGACAACCTTTCATAACCTTCATTATTAAACTAACACTAAATATACTTTTTGAAAAATACGTATTGTTATAAGATGAACTTAGTACTTGTTTTTTTTTT